TCTCCTATTGCTGCTGTTCACTTGAGTTGCAAACCCACTGCACACCTTCCTAACACCTAGTTGGTAGTTGATGTTCTTTAATGGCCGGCTAATTGATCATGGTTTTCTCATGAATAAATGCAACTCACCTGGAGTTGCAGCCTAAATTTTACATTATTAGTTCATTTAAACAAACTCATCACAAACACATGGCAAGACGCAGGAAAAAAAGCTTATTGCTGCGGTGCATTGTCCGCATTCGTTAATCATTTAATTGATGACAAAATAATTTCAATTGCGTTTTAGGGACAATGACACCTCGAATGTGATTAAATTAGTCACTAACAATCTTGCATATTAGGTTGAATAATATTCTTCTTGTATTCTGCTGTGACTTGAATGTGTTGTATCAGAGCCATTTAATATACTAACGCCAAAGAGTAAGGAAAATAATGTGGTCCGACTGAGGTTGTGTCTATTCACCATAAAATTTTCCTAGACACATCCTGCTCTAGAGTACTTTTTAACGTGCCAAACAAATTTAGTTGATGGTTGATGTTCTTTAATAACCGATCATGCCCACAACGATTGTTAGTTCACATAGCTTCTAGCACTGTTTCTAGTCACACGTGTAAATTTATTTCAGATTGCTCATAGAGTTTGAATTACTGGGCAGCATTCAATTACCTAGTATCTAGCTTCAGTGAGTTAATATAAGTGATTGAACGGAATAAAATGTATGCGTATGTCTTACATGTAATATAGACCATCTTAAATCACTCACATAACTACAAGTAATAACCATTTTGTTCATGAATAAATTATTAAGACCTATTATAATGCACAGACTGTTAATGCCTACTTCCTTAAGAATACTTGAACTAGGGTTTATGAAAGCAAAGTGCCTCTTTTGGCGTGGCAAAGCTCATTTTTTAATCACCAATGTCAGTTTTTGTGGATCAGTTTGACCTTGAAAATACCCGGCTTCTTCCAAATGTGTGTAGAATACCCGAGCCCTAATAGGAAAAAGACTGGTACAACAGAACAGGCTTTATTGACCAGTCAGAAGCCAGAGCCACGCGTCAGGCACCTTCCATCCGAGTCCAAGACACTGGTCATGCCGCTCATTATATACTGCTTCTCATCCATGTCCTTCTCTGGTTGGCTGCCTTCCTTTCTCGCATGCCATTGGATCGCAGAGAGACACGGGATTGGCTGAAGCCATGTGGTCCAACATGTCTGCGCCCAAATCCGACGCCACATGTGTTTGGTTTTTTTGCATTTACCGAATGTTTGTCGTCGAATCGAGCCATAACAAAAATGCTAAATCAGTTAAACTAAAACACTCATAGGACAGTTTTAAGCAACAGAAACGCACCAAAACTACATGTTTGCAAACGTGAATTTAGGCTGACAGCGTTAAGACGAACAACCGTATCTGAATTAAATTTCCTCCCATTTGGTTTAAACTAGTTTGATGCGATGATATTTGACTACTGAACTCAATAATCCCGTAATATTCGCGGTTGTGCAGGACGGTGAATACAAATGACTTCTTTGCAACACCACCAGGTCCGGTCAACATTTGATTGTGACAGTGCCCTTGTTTGATTAATGATTTTAGTGCATTGTCATATTGAAATCAAAAAGGTAATTTTGGCGTCTAAGGTGGGCTGCTGTGGAAGATTATTGAAAAATTTTTCGGTTTCTTATTTGTGTTAAATTATTGTGTGAAAGCTGTTATTCTAAAAGTACTAAATCACTAGCAATGCAACTTGAGCAAACTAAAAGTAATATTGATAACTAGATAAGTATGTTTTGTAGGCAAAATGCTCTATTATTATTACTATTATTATTGTCATTAGAATTGCAACTATCATTTTGTAATCACCGAAGTCAGCTGAGTGGTTCTGCTTAACCTTGAATGTTTACCGCTATTTTAAAATTTAGTCCTGCTATTTTAGAATCCAAAATAGTGGTGTTTTTGCATTGACTTTGGCCAAGTATAAGTCATTAGTGATTTGTATTGTTTTTATTTAATGCATTTTGAACCCCGAGAACAGGACTTTTTCCTCTCTGCTTACCTAACCACGAGTTTTATGTGTAAGTCTAAGGCACTTTTCAGTCCATGTGGTCATCTTTAAGTGACTGCGTATTTTTGCATGCCTTGCATAACCATGCACAAAGTATAGCGTAGTGTATTTGTGTAATACTTCTCTTTTGAGCATAATTTATGAAATACGTTTGCAGTCTGAACTCGGTTATCGCAGAAATCGCACACTTGTTCCATTTGTTTTCTCGTGATAGCTTTACACGTCAACTAGGTTGTGATTTTTTTTATTATATTGTCAGTTTTGCTAGATTCCATTTATCGTTTGATTTATTGAATGAATAAGCTTGATTTTTGTGTGATTTCGGCATATGGACATAACGTTTTATATTTGTAAAGGAACCGGTATGGTGGCGTCAGCCACAAATCACAAATCCCAGTTTCTTGAAGCAGCCTTGGTTTTTGTTTGCAATGCTGATTTTTGTGGTCTCTTTTATGCTCAGAAGTAGATTGAGGCAATTCGCCTTGAAAGAATCTATGTGTATGAGACATTTGCAGTTTGACCATTAGACCGCATGTTTATTCTATTTTGCAATTAAAAAAGGAATTCTTTCTCAGTTTTTAACTTTCGCTTCTGTTTGCACACAAAACGCGATATTATCTAGACTAGAAATACACTACTGTAACCATTGTATAGTAGTTTTCAGTGCGATTCAACCAAGGGTTAGGGTGGAACGTACTGCAACTCACTCAAAATTGTAGTTTCTCCAGCCACGAAATCTACCCAGGAGATACAAAACTTGGTCTTGGCTAATCGGTAAAATCATTAGATATTCTTAGTCTGTATCGTTGGCAACTGTGAAAAGTTTTACATTTATATTTGTAAACTTACCACATTCCCACTGTGGGAATGTAATTGTCGTGTCCGTTGGCTCTACCGATTCCATTTGAAAACAGCAAATATCTCATAATCTAGCACGAAGTTATGGCGATGGCCCAGCGTCTTGCTGTTGTCACAAATTATCTTGCATATACGCGTGAGTCGAAATAATGTAACTAATTGTGCAGGCCTTATAAGGGCCAAGTTGACATTTTCAGAAATGCATTTATTGGCTGCAAAAAAAACTAAGCTTTTAGTATGGCTTAATGACAAGCGAAGTTAAGTATTGATTTTTACGAATTTTTGTAGCTGCTTATAAAGAAGCATTGCCTCGGCGAAATGGTTTTTAATGTGCCTATCCCAACAAACCTTTAGAACTTGTTGGATTGGCCATCATTCAGGTTCTCAAAACCGTTCAAACGAAGCGCCTCTTTACCCACGCTTTTTTAACTCATAGATATATGGTTCGATGGCACATCGCACATATCTAACTGATGTCCAACAACTCTACCGGCTGATTGAGACGTCTACAAACGGTCAGGCGTCCATAATTTCGGTCGATGAAATGTCAGTGTTGATCTCGCTTCATCCCAAATCTGGTTACAACGCGCACGCTGATTTTGCTGTGGAAGTGAGTGCCTGTGAACCAAGTAGTGGTGATATTTCGGAAGTGAGAAGAGATAGTAGTGTCTGTTTCATCGCGCTTTCTCTTAAGTGTTCGGTTTTGTTCCTACAACGTTTTCGATTTTGAAATAGCAGAACCAACTTGGGTATTGCGAACACCAGCACCAAGGCATTTTTGGAATATGCAACCAAAAGGATGTCATTACAGTGGCAACTGCATTTAAACAGAGCACTTAAAAACGGACCTGTGTTCACTCAGGGTTTTCTCTAAATACCTGCCCCAAGTTTATGAAAAGAGCTACATTCAAATTTTCAGCAAAGGTACTGGTGCTAATTAAAAGTGTGTGCATTTTCCAATCATGGATTTGTAGCCTTTTAATTGTCAGGAATGTGAGCATATGTTGCGTTTTTTGAGTGTATTTACAAAGTATTTTGTTTAATATGAATATTTTAGATTCAATGCTCCATGTCATATCCGAGAGACTGTCCACGGGTGAAATTTAAATCACCAATCTTCCACCCCAATATCGACAACTCATTTGGCAGCGTTTGTCTAAACCTGCTTTATGCTTGGGTTAGGTGCGTGTCAGATATAATTTTACAACTGTGGTAAATCTGTTTCTTGACTTAACCCAGGATAAACGTTGTCTCTTTTGAATGCGGGGTTGTATTTGTCAGCATTAAGCTTGTCCAATCCAACAGCACAATTGTCTACATGCGTGTGGTTAGTGTTTGTGTTGGTTGAACTTTTAGCTCCTTCAATCTCCTTACTGTGGTAAAGGCTCTTCTTTACCTCATCAACAATCCGAACTTTGAATCGCCAAACAACACGTTTGCATGCCTGGATAACAGAGACCTATTGGAGAAGAAGACTACGCGGTTATTGGCTGGTCTGCCTGTGAATGGTAAACGGTTTGCGCCGAACCAGGCTTGGTGCAAGTGGGCGGAGGCCCATGGCTGCCTTCCGATTGGTGAGGAAGAGGATGATGAAGATGACGATGATGCCGGTGGTGAGGATGTCTGTGATGTCGCTGCTTCTTCATTCGAGGTAGGTCGAGTGTGCTGCCTAATAACCAAATCTAGAATCGGTCAGCTTTGCCCTCGTGAGGCTCATGTCGTAGAAAGCACTTTAATGTAATGACCGATTGGTACACAGTTCTCTCCGTCAGCATTTCAAGAAGGGCTTTGCTTTTGGTCTTTCATTTCACATTCGACTACTAGTGACGAGTAGTGACTTCCTTCGTCACAGTTATGAAATGCACATTCACAACAAGATATTTCTGTAGCTGGTTAATACAGAGGCTTGCCGTTCGTGCCCCTAAGTAAGGTTGTTAGGGCGTAAACAACATTGTAGATACATTGAAGTACGCATCAGTGAATCGTGGCATCTCACCACACCCAAGAGTGCGCGTAGGAAGTTACAATCGATTATCAACAATTGTTATCACTTGACAAAGAGATTTTAAGCTAACTACTAAATAAATTTCATTTTTGCAGAAACGTACTCATCCATTTCTTCCATATTCAATTCCAGGAAGGTGACAGTGCAGAATGGGACGATGGTGTAGCCGTGTTCGGTGAAAATGTCCTTTCCTTTGCTAACATTCGATTCCCCATTGATTCAGACATAGAATCACAATTATCGGTTTTCGATGAACGCCAATATGCAAATAAGCTGGTTGAAACCCAGCGCATTGTAATTTGGCCTCCCGCTAATAGTCCTAAGGCAAATATCCCCTCAGTATTCTACTACTGCGAACTTGTCTGTGATGGCTTCTATCAGAATGAACTAGTCAAACCTGACAACAGATCGTTCACTGACGATAGTGTGTTGCCCATGCAAAGCCATCTCGAATCGAGGCAAAAATCTAGTCTTTGTCCATGGTACAGCTTCTACCGACAAGAGCCCTCTTGCTTTCACTCGAATTTCACTTCTGTAATCGACCTGAGCTTCCTGTTTCCTAAAAAGATTATTACGGGGCACCATTTGACCGATGACTTTTGTCCGTGGTCACATTTGGATGGGAGAGGTACTACGGGCATCCTAGGAGGGCTGTTTTCAGACAGACGCCAACGACGCCGAAACTCGACTGGGAGAACATCTACAGAAAACGATGTAGGTGGCCATGAAATGGCATTCCTGTTCAACACCAGTGATGATGGGAATGAGGACGAATTCGCACATTTAGCAAACGTAGAAGAAGAGAAGGCGGAAAAGGACGATGTGTACATGCAGATTCAGAAAAAAGGGGATTTGGAGGAGATGGAAGGTGTTGATTTGGCCACTCTTATAAAGCCAGACGAAGAGGACTTGACAGTGGAAGAAGAGATTGTGTGGAATGAAGAAGGCAAAAATGAAGTGGGAGAAAGTGTGGATGCTTTGGATTTCGAACGCAATATAAATGCACTCGACGCCGAAAACGTGACTGCACTGCGTCAAGCTAATTTCGACGAACAAACGCTATCAACCGCGTCGGCAAGCCCTTGCCATTGTGAACCACCTGAGGACACTTTCTTGAGAAATTATAAGTACATCACTAATGACTACAGCCGGGCCGCGGAAATGATTAACGTAACAATGGAGCCACGGTGGTTCTGGTTCTTCCGTCAGACACGTTGGCCATTTCGATTGGCACCACGGCAAACTGTGGACCTGTTCATGCATGAAATTCGAAGCCCTTCATGGCGAGCGAGTGCTGCACGTCTTCTCTTGGATATCACCAGGTTTTGTGCAAGGAACCCCGAAATGAAGAATCTTATTCTTCTCGACCCCATGGTGAGTTTTGTCTTTAGTGTGAATTTCCACTGATTATTTGACAAATCCATTGCCAGCAAACCAGTTAAAATTGCCTAGATGCATCATAAATTGACATGAATGCAAAAAATCGACTTCTGAT